TTTTGAAATTGAAAATATTTTTAAAAACAAACTTAAATTTTTTTTGGGGGTGGGGGGCTGGGGGGCTGGGTAGGAGGTGGGGGGGGGGTCAAGGGTAGGGTGAAAAAATGAAATTTTGAAGTTGAAAATATTTTTTTAAAAACAAACTTAAATTTTTTTTTTTGGGGGGGGGGGGGCTGGTAGGGGTGGGTGGGTGGGGGGCTGGGTAGGAGGTGCGTGAGGCGGGGGGGGGGGTCAAGGTAGAGTGAAAAATTGAAAATTTGAAATTGAAAATATTTTTTAAAAACAAACTTAAATTATTTTTTTTGGGGTAGGGGTGGCGAGTAGGGGGTGGGTGGGTTGGGGGGGATCGAGTGTAGGGGTGAAAAAATAAAATTTTGAAGTTGAAAATATTTTTTAAAAACAAACTCAATTTTTATTCTTTTTGGGGGGCGTTGGTTGGGGGCTGGTTTGAGGGTAGGGACAAAATAAATTGATTTTTCCAACAAAAAAAGTAATTGTAGTTTGAAGTTGGAAGAGAGTTTTGGAAAATGTTTTCCTTAAGTTTTGAAGGGAAGTCATTTTCCTTAAATTTGAGGAAAATGAGTTGATTTGGAAAACATTTTCCAAAACATTTAACCCAACCAAACATGAGAAAATTGGAAAACATTGTTTTCCTTCATACCAAACACACCCTTTATCCATTGACCTTTCATAAAAAAGCTAAATATTTTCTGTTAGAAGTTTGGTTTCCATTTCCCATTTTTCTGTTCTTGGAGGTGAACTAATTGAGTTGCCAAGTGTGGAGGGTCCTGTAGACTTGATTAGAAAAATGAAAACTTCGGCAATCAGTGCCAGTTTTTCTTTATTTACAATCAATTCATTGACATGTTTGTTTATTATTGCAGACTCAAGCTCCAATGTCTGCATTGAAGATTCCTATATTTCAGTAGGGGATGATCTAGTAGCCGTAAAGAGTGGCTGGGATCAATATGGAATTGCTTATGGTCGCCCTAGTCATGGCATAACCATCCGAAGGATTACTGGATCATCTCCATTTGCTGGAATTGCAGTTGGAAGTGAAACCTCTGGTGGCGTAGTGGACGTTTTAGCTGAGCATATAAGTCTTTTCAATATGGGAATTGGTATTCACATTAAGACAAACATTGGCCGAGGAGGGATGATCAGAAACATTACGGTCTCAAATGTCTACATGGAAAATGCACGAACGGGGATTAAGATTGCAGGTGATGTTGGGGATCATCCAGATGAAAATTTCAATCCAAATGCTCTTCCAGTTGTTAAGGGTATCAAGATTAAGGATGTTTGGGGCGAAAAGGTTTTGCAGGCTGGTTTGATTCATGGTTTGAAGAATTCCCCTTTCTCTGGGATTTGTCTCTCCAATATCAACCTTCATGGCAACCCCGGATCACAAAATTCCATTTGGAAATGCTCAGATGTTAGCGGAGCTGCAATTCAAGTCAGCCCTTTTCCTTGTGCAGAACTCACCAGCAGCCAACAAACTGGTGCATGCTCTACCTACTTCTAAGTATGTTGTAGTAATTCTTTGCTTCCAATTCAATTCAGTATATCACAAAAACGAAACGAAGAATTTTTTTCATGTTCTAAGTAAAATTGTAATTTCAACTTTGTACACAATCATATTGTATACATATTTTCCTACTACATCTCTCATGGATGCAAGTTTGTTTAAAAACTACTAAAACACACATCACAACAAGCTAAAGGTGTATCCTATGCACAAAGTGCACCCTTGCTACTGCAGGATTAGGGAGAGAGGGTGGGCGTGTATGGTACGCAACCTTCTTGTATTTCTACCGAAGAGGTTGTCTCCAGGCCTCAACCCAAAAGAGCCATTCTACAAATACATACACTAATACAAAATACTAAAGCAAAAACATGGAGCACATTAGCAGAACTGCTTCAATCGAAGTAGTTATCCAAGAACTTGCGAATGTGCTTAACGAGACCACCTGTCTTCTTTTCCTCTTTATGTGTCTCATTTCCTTCTCCAGCTTCTTGCTCCTCTTCTTCATGGTGATGGTGCAAATGCTTCTTCATTTTCTTCTTATCAAAGCTATGATGATCTTCATACTGCATTGCTGAAATCTCACCATCCTCATCCTCGTGTTCGTGCTCCTCTTCAAAGGGGTCATATAAATGACCCTTTAGTTTCATTTTACCAAACTTGTCATGTTTGTTTCGCTTGATTATGAACTTCGACATCTTCTGTTCATCAACATCATCATCATCATCATCTTCGTTGTATTGGTGGAGGAAACTCATCCACTCCTCCGGAACCTGATGCAGGCCTCCAGGAAATACATGTTCAAAGTCATCGTCATCATCATCAGAAGGTATCATATCATTACCATAAGGGATCTGATCATCAAGGTGTGTTGACTGTGTTCTTGGCTTCAGGTTGTGTGCATAGTGTAAATGGTGGTGGTCACATAATCGCGAAGGACGCCTAGATCTGGCCGGAAAGTGGCGGTTGATTGAACGAAGCCGAACAAACGTCAAAGGTAATGCCTTATTCTTTTTGTCCCTAGATTCAAGAAGGTGATCTTGATTCTCTTGAACATGTTGAGTTTCTTTGTCAAACTGGTTTGTGGTCGGGGTGGCATCGGATTCTGGAAGTTTGATGTTAGTGATATCGTTTTCTTTTTGCGTTAAGGGTGTTAGAGCAAATGAAAAGGTGAAAAAAAGGAAGAAAATGGCAATGGAGAGTTTGTCCATTGTGTAAATTTGGTTTAATAGAACAAAGTCTATTTCTCTGAAACAAAAGAATGATATATATATATATATATATATATACACTATTTTGCTTTGGAAGGTGGACAGTGAATATGGGGAAAAGAGAGGTATAAAACATAGTGATATTTTTGAATCCAACAATATTTATGTGTAGAGTGAAATAGTAACCATTGGGTTGTAATGTTAATTGAACTACCAAAGGTCCAAAGCTTTGAATTGGTCTCCAATCTCACCTTATGTCAATGAAGTGTGGCCTAACGGGTAATGAAGTGAGATCAGGGTTCAAATCTCGATAAAAGTAAGAGGACAAGGTGATATGTTTTTATTGGTGTATTAGTTTTGATGGATAAAGTTATTCGATACTTGTGCTAGTAAGAGAAGTCCATGTTCAAACAGGTCATGTATCTTATTAGATTTTTTGGGGGTATGGAGAAAATTATGTTGGGAGTGCCACCCCTGAATGAGCCCTGCAGAGCACGATCCGGATTTAGTCAGAGCTTCAATGTAGGCTCCAGACACCGGATGGGAAACAAAAAAAAAAAGATTTTTTGGGGGTAAGCCAATACAAACACACTTTTAGTATGGTGTGATATTGTTCACTTTGAACTAAGTTTGCGCGGTTTTCTCAAGGCCTATTTTATTAAGAGTATCTCGACGCTTTATATGTAGCTTCCTTTTCAACTACCAATACATGGAGCTTTGTTCGTAAACCTAATAATTTTCCCTTCAAACTAAAATTTCACATGACCCATCACCCCATGGTTTTATCTAGAGATTCACTAAGTGTCATTCACATCATCCGAGTATTTATGATCACGAAGCCAACATGCTAGTTTCTTCTTGTGTGTGCGCCTCTTGAAGGTACTAAATCGAGCTTCACGCTATCATTCCTCCATTTCCATGCTCGTTTCGACAAATCACATGCTTTGATATCAGTTGTTGGGCTATGACGATAATCTAAATCAAACTGACAAGGTTTTCCAAAAAGTTTCAACATTATTAAAAGTTTCTCTACACATTATACGTAGCCTCTTTTCTTTTCACCTATCAATGAAGAACTTTGTTGCATATCGATGTATTGATTTAAATATTTAAATAGTAAGTATGGATAAGTTTTTACCATGATTTTATATTTGATCGTCAATCCTTTCATCTTGCTATTTGTCATTGGGCAAGGTAAATTGAACTAAAAACAAAATAAAACTTAGTATAAATATGTTATATTAGTTTATAAATGTGCTAATGACGCAGTTTAGCACAAATTAAGAACGAAACAGGGATCAATATTGTCTTGAAATTGAAGTAGTATATTATTATAATATTTTTATAAAGTAGTGACGTATCATGTCCTTTTCTTTGCCCGTCTTATCGGTTGCGGGTATATGTGATTTTAAGTGAGTTCAAATTTAATTTTAACTTTTTATAGTGGTAGAACATTATTTATCAAGATAATTTCTTTAAAGCTATGAAAATATTTAAGGTAGTAAATGAAAATGGTTCAATAAAAAATAATATAATTTCTTACATGTTTCCAATTGACTCCTAAAAGATAATTTTTTAAGTCATTATCTATTAAATTAATACAACTTAATGAAAAAATGAATTTATTTTATGAATTTTATTTTTAGTATCAAATTTTCCTAGAAAAAGAAAATATTAAAACAATTATGCAGGATGGAGTGAGGCGGGTTGAAAATGAAAAAGTTGTTAGGCGGGGTGGATTAAAATTTTTGCAGGTTAAGCTCAACTTGTCCTATCCCGTCCCACACCACCCTATTGCCATATCTGGTCCTGCTAGACATAAGTTTAATTGTTAAAGAATAAAAATTAAAAAATCAATTCATTTGAAGAGCAAAAGGGACAATTTTTAAACGATATGATTCCATGACTCAATGCATAGACAAATAAGATATTTAATTACTAACCAATAAAATTTGTGGTGAAAAACAAGGATCCCAACTCATTATCTTCTTTAAACCCAATTAATTAATCCTAATTAAATACCATGTAATACCATCTTTTACAACTTGGTATTCGATAAATTCTATGATGTTATAATAACCAATAAGACAACACCCAAAAACATTATAAATTCTCTAAAATGATACTATTTCTGAAAGTTTTCTTATACACTAAATTTTGTTTTCTTAATATAATTAATTAAAATGTTATCAAGAGCTTTTGTCACTAAACATCAAATTAGAAGGAATTTCAATGATCATGAAGAAAATAGTTGCAGATCAATGTCAATCTATGAGTATGAAGAGTTTATTATAGGATTCAAACAAGATGTTCCTCTTGTATTTTTCGATGAAAATAATGATCCTAATCGTAACCATGGTATGGTATCGAGGAAAACATTTTCTTTCTCCGTGTTTACTTGGTTAAGATTTTAGAAAAATATTTTCTCGAGAAAAATAAGTAATTTTTCTGGTGAAAGTAGGGAAAATACGTTTTATAAGTGACATTTCACTCTTCTTCGTCCTCTAACACATCCAATCCCACTCCCACCCGTCACTACATAGTGTCTGTCTAGATTATATATGTATGTTTTTGGGATTGATGATATATATTTTTCGGTTACAACTTACCAAACATCAAAAAATAAGTAAGAAACCACTTATATTTTTTCAGAAAGTCACCTAAAGGATATCGACTTATAAACCTCTTTAAAATATGTGATTTTTAATCTTAAATATAAAGGTTACTTGCTATAACATGTAATGTTGACTTGATGGTATAATTTTTTCTCATATTGACTTACACAAGTCATAACCATTTTATTTAATTATATTATGTCTCGACAGGTAAAGCAGTGTTGGGTCCTTGTGAGCCAAGATTGACACTAAAAGAAGTGTTGAGGGCATCAGGTGGAGTTATGGGAGAAAGTCATTTAGGGATGACTGAAAAAATTGTGCTTTTAAAAGGGAGATTTTGTGCTTTAAAAAGATTTAGAAAAGTTGTTTTGAAAAAGAATGAATTTGGGAGAAGAATTGAGAAGTTTGCTAGGGTTAGTAGAGATTGCAAACAACTTGTTCCAATCACAGCTTATTTATATTCAAAGAGGATCAAATTTGTTGTTTGTGATTACTACCCCATGGGTAGTCTTGCTGATTTACTTGCTGGTGAGTTTTCAATCTCATCCTTCGTCCTTAATCAGAAATTTCGAGTCTTAAATCATGTATTTTGATGTGAATTCAGATCAATCCTCAATGAGGGTACGAGTACCCGATACTAAATGAAAACGCACACAAAAAATGATGTTGACTTATTTTTCAAGTTACTAATTGTACTTATTATTAATTACTTGTAGTTATATCTTATGTGACTCGTGATTTTTTTTTTTCATTATCAATATATATAGAAGTTAAATTCACTTAGATTTGTTGTTATAATCCGTTCATTTTTTTAGAATCTCGATTTTTTTAAAAATAATTAGGGATAATCACTTAAAATTTGGATTGAAACACATTACAATTAATGTTTATGATTCTTTAGTAAAATTCTTATAGGATTAATTGGGAAATCGTTTTAAGTTTACTTAGATTAACTAACCAAAATCGATTTGTTGGTTAGTTATATCAATCACATATCTCTATGATCATTACGTGCTAATACATGACACGTTTTATTTTAATTATGAATTTAACTTATATACATCGACTTTTTTCTTGTAGGAGCAAGGGATCTAGGTCAAACGGCACTAGAATGGAAACAACGTTTAAAAATAATTGTATGCATTGCTCATGGCATTGCATTCATCCACTCTCAAAATCCTCCAAAAGATCAAAAGGACATACAACTAAATGTTCATGGCAATGTCAAGGCATCAAATGTCATGATCAACATCGATTTCACCGCCTGTCTTTCTGACTATGGCTTCGCGCAATTAGCTGAGAGGACAGAGTTTTCTAATACTTGGCAAAAGAATCCGCCCCCTCTTGATGATCAATATGTATATTGTGAATTGTTAAGCCAAAAAAGTGATGTGTATAACTTTGGGATTATTTTGTTGGATATATTAGGAAGAAGGCAAGGGATGAAGAAAGAAGAAATGGGAAATGGGGAATTTGAGTTTTTTGTACAAGGCAAAGAAAGAAAACAAGTTTTAAATGTATTGAACATAGCTTTGAAATGCATAAATAGTGATCTAGAGGCTAGGCCTACAATGAAACAAATAGTAATATACCTAGGAGATGTATTGAGGGTGAAAAATTACACAAATTAGTGTTATTTTAGTGCGAAAGATATACATATATCTATATATTGATATTAGGAGAGCGTTTTCATCGTGTATGCTTTGAAGTATGTATAACAACGTCTCATTCCCGAGCAAATTGTGATAAGATATGCTTTAAAACATATATGATGAAAAGTAGCTTGTAGAATTTGCTCAACATTTTATGTTGATTGTCAGCTTGTTCAGCTGACCTCAAGAAATTCATGTCACTCGACATAATATGTTTGTTCTCAAAATGTATGCTTTAAAAACATGTTTGAAAACTTTTGAGTTATTTAAATAATATTTTTACTATTAACTTTTGACTCTTATTTGTTGATATATGTTGTACCGTTCTCTTTCTAATTATATTTACTTGAACATTTTACAAACAAAAAAAAAATCAATTTGTAGTGAGTTTTTTCTCTCTACTCTAGTATTGAGGCAAAATTTAACTACATTGATCAAATTGTGTAATCTAAAAGTGTGACAAGTGTTGATACAAAAACCACATTGATTAAAATGTAATCTAATAATTAACTTAAACATCTAATTTTTCCTTGAAATAAACACATAATTGATCAATACTAGTTCATAACTAATGATCATTGCATATGTTTTTTCTTGGTGTGTATTCTACTTAAATACAATAACAACAATAACATATCAATAAAATCCTACAAGTAAAATTTGTAAAGATCAATAAAAATTACGCACATTTTATTTTTATCTTTACGAGTTAGGAAAACTGTTTTTTTCTACCCATAATAAAGGGATCTTAGAAGGGACAGACATATAGAGTAGCCTCACGTGTGGTTCTTACACACAACAGAGAGGGCATCTTATAGACCGTCAAAGTTCTTTTTTCTTTTTTACGCGTAGATTGATAAATGTTCATTTATTATTAATCAAAAGTTTTGAGTTTGAGTATAGGAGTCATCTTTATTAGGGAGCATTTTAATCTCAATGTAGGACTTTTCATTGCGAATTCAAATTTAGTCCGACTTTAATATAAATACCGAACACACCGAAAAAAAATGTAATTTCTAATGGCTCTTTGGTACGTTGGTTTCTTCCTCATTTTTCAAGAGGACCACTTGATGAATATACTGATACAATGTCAGATCTTACGCGTGTGCTTTCATGACTATTCTTCCCTCCTCATACTAGCCGGGGCCATCTCCGCGAAAACTTACTCGTACTCGATGTTTATATTAATATATATCAAGAGAATATAATATGAGATGGGCTGTTTTACTAAGCTCTTGACACCTCGTGAATTTTTTATTTTACTTGCACTTGATGTCTATATCTCCTTTCAACTTTTCTATCGACTAACGTTAAATTGATTTATCAAAATGGCATAAACATCAAATGTGAGTAATTGTATTTGTTGTATCTCTAAACTTTTTTTTGGTAGTAAATTATTCATCAATTATTAATTGAATTTAGATCATGGAAGTACTCTACTAGTCTACTTGTTACAAAGTTGTATACAATTAATTTTCAAGCTCAATTAATATATGATTCAATCAATCTCATTTAGTCATGGTATTGACGACACGTGGACCAATTGCTACACATTAAACAGCTCCTTTTTGTCTTTTAATAACTAAAAAATATAGATGATTATTAGGCTTATAGAGCTAAGGTTATTAGGATTGTATATTAATATAACAACAAGCTATGATTTGATTTTTAATTAATTAGTGTAACGTACATTTTGACTGATCCAGTAGTATCATTTTTTTATAAAAATTAATTATATACTGTTGACTTTTTCTTCCAAAGCGTGTGCATGGTTAATAGCGTACTTTAATTATTATTATTATTTTTAGCAAAACCAAAGAATCAAGAAGCTTCGTATTGGAATCATTAAGCACGATTAAAGCAAATTAATTACATTATCTTTATATTAGCACTTAATTACACGATAGATTATCAAAGAGAATTAAACAAAAGTTTATAAATTATTTTTAAAAATCATACGAAGATAATTTGTACTTAAACTTGTACTAAATTACTAGAATATCGGCGATTGATAATTGTAACGTCTGTATTTTTTAGGAAATTAATATAGTGAAAAAAAAGAAAAAGAGGAATGTTAATATTGGTGAAATAATTGCATCAAAAAGCTTGTAAAGTGGGAATCGAACCTTCACCAATAAAGTAAAAGTTCAGATAGTCAATCAATGAACTACTCTCTCTCTCTCTATATATATAGAGGGAGAGAAGTATATATACCCCCGATCTTGCAACATTAGTGAAATACGCCCCTAAATTATTGTCAAGTTTAGGAGTGTTTTAAACACTTATCTTGATTTTTATTAAGAACTCCATTCTCCTACAAGAGTTTGAGATCACTTGCTATGTCATGTTGCATATCGGAAGTGTATTGGGGGTGTATCTAAGCTTAGTTAGTCAAGTAGAGGGGTGTTTTTAAGGCTGTCAATAGTTCGGAGATGAAACTAATAATTTGCGCCAAATTTAGGGGTGTTTTTATACTCTCTCATATAAAAAGTATGTTGACTTGACTCTATAGGTATAAATAGCACCCCTCATGTTGAGTTTCATTTGATAAAATAAGAAAGAAAAATAAAATAAAAGGGAGAAATTAAATGGCAAACGAAGAAAGTGAACTTTACTTTGTTTTCATGAACTATGATCCTGAATACGAGCGGCTTCGATCCAAAAGGTAAGTATTTCTTCTGTATTTTTATCTTTCTTTTATAAATAAAATAACATTTTCGACACGTCAATTTCGTAAAGAAATAAATTTTGAGCCTAATTCATCAGTCCTAAAAATCTTGAATCCTTCTCTGAGTTCGATACATATATAGGACAAAGAAGGGAAGCTATGAGCTAGATATGTACATAAGCAATAAACATGATGAGCTGTTAGCAAATACATTTGAGGCAGGAACCTATAACAAGAGATTGTCTTTGGTTATTGTTGATGGATTTGCTGTTGAAATCACTCAACATCAGGTTAATTAATTAATTTCCTCCTCAAATTTTGTATTTGTATATTCTTAATTATAATTAATAGTACTATATATTATAAATTATTATAAATGACATATATATTATTTTATGATTACAGGCCAATGTGCTTAGATCTGCAAAAGAAGTGAGGGTTGTGGAGAAAAATCAAGAACTTGCTTAATGGCTTGGATGGTTATTATTATTATTATTATTGAGAAATTTAATATATAGATTTAAAAATTCCCCCATCCCCCAACAAAAAAAAAGTGAAGAAGAGAAGGGGGGGGGGGGGGGAGGGGGTTATGTTTTATTAATGCTTCATATATTATGAGCTAAATAACGTAAGTAAATTCATCATTGTTACATATATTTAATTGTGATGATGAATTTTCGTTGATAAAAGCGGATTTGTACTCATGAATTTATTGTAATCAAATTTCATTAATTGATGACTTTCTAATACTACAATTTGGACATGTACATTATATATTGATAAAAGGAGAAAAGAAAAAGCGTATTTGATTTTCACTTTCTTTAATCAAGAATACTCTTTCTCTCGGAGTTAAAAGGTCATTTTGGCGATATTCTTTGATATGGTTCTCTCAAGCGCGCATATATATATATATACATATATATATATATATACACACCGTACTTATTTAACTATGTTGGTTTGGTCTATGATCAATTTACCATGAGGATTGTCCTCTCATTCCAAAGTTTTATCCTTAAACGTTGATTATAATAACGATTGTGACTATATTTCTACTCAATCACACCTTCTACACTAATCAAAAGACTAAAAGTTTCCAGTGGTATGCATGAATCTTGGTAAAGGATCGGATTAATCAATCAAAGTTGGCTTCAATCATTATGTATTGAACAGAAGCAAAAGCCTCAGTAATGGCCAGACGATAGTAAAAAGTCACAGCAAATTAATCCAGTAGCTACTTTTACTAAAAAAAAAAACAAGTAAGCGTGATTCCCCCTAAACAATAAAATATATTGACACGGAGAGAAATATATTTACTAGTTATATTATCCGCAATTGCTTAAATCTCCATGATCTCTTTCCTAATCCATCTCATGGTGGGGTTCTTTTGTTTTTTTTAATAGTCTATATATTTCGTTTTTGCTAGATGATTACTATCGAGAAAAAAAATGACTAGGATTCTAATTATCTCCCATCAATTCATGTTGATGCTACACGAATTATTCTTGCCACCCACTAAAAACGAAAAGGAAGACTAACCACAATCCTGCTCGAAACTTTATATGAAGAATTAAAAAAAATATAACCATTTTTTTTCATGAGAACCAACTACAATGATTTCTTTTTTTGAAAAAAAAAACACTTTGTGGTCCTATAGTGAAAAGATAAGCAGTCACATACACAACACTTTGAGCTGTAGTCCACCACACACAAATGTGATGAACAAACAAATATTGGCAAGTCAGACAGTGTAACAAGTTGTGTGTGTAACAGTAGCAATAGGGGCCCTCTTTGAAGAGCCAAAAATGAAGAAATTGAATTCATGTGAGCACTTTATTTTAATTTTTATCTAGTTATGGTTATATTGAAGGACAACATTTTTACCTGCAATATTTCCATTTTTTGACAAACGTCAAAGTGCAACTTGCTAACTCTCATGACATTATTGTATTTGTGGGGTTACTAGCTCATCGTCCTTTTTACCTTTCACATGCTACTTGTTACGAGAGAGGACGTTATTCAGATGGTGAACGTTTTTCACCTTCAATTGAAGATAGTGGTTTGTGTCGATAAGGGGAGCAAAATGGCGGGAGATCTATTAGTTTCTTTCTTTTGAATGTTTTAAAAACATTGTTAAGTAAATAAATAAAAGTGTATTGTATCTAATTGTTATATTTTTTTTTTAGATAAACTGATCACAATAATGCCCGCTTGTCCATGAAATTTTTTGGACATGTACATGATGAGTGTGTACGCACTTTCTACTTTAACAAGATCAAACCTATTTGATCGTATTTATTAGAAAAAAATATATATTGATGTTGAACTGAAGCGAGTGGTCTTTGCGGTCAATGTTTCTGGCTCTAGGTTGGGTCTTCCCTTAGTTTATGCGCCGCTAATGTAGCGGCTTGTCGAACATTTGACAAATTCATACCATCCATTTCAAATAAGGATTTGTCCCCCAGACATACGAATAATCCAACCCGTAGGATTTCCTTCACCTCTTCCAATTCTTACTTCTGTAAGTTTCTCCCCATCCGCAAAATTTCTTACCCATATACATCTTACCATTTATATGGAATTGTTTGCTCATAGCACGATCAATTTTAGCTTTCAATAAAAAAACAATTCAATATAAAGAGAGGAAAATGAGCAACGAGGGACTTTTGTTCTTTTTTTATTTACAAATAACTAAATAAATATTGTTGCAACTTGCAACATGTTAAATAGGTTTGACAAGATTTTTTAATTCTTTGCATTATCAAAAATATTTAATGCCAACAAAATTTACTTAGTCTTAATCAAGTCTCAAAAGGCCAAAAAACAATGGACTGAAAATGACCAATTATTTATTTGGGAACTAAAATATATACAATTGACCTAGGGAAATCCCCTTGATTATATATAGTTGGTCAAAACTCAAAAGTCAACCAATCCAAATACAGCTAATCTACCTAAGAAGGTGGAAGTTTTGGGTCTTATTTTTTTGATAAATAAAAAAATAAAGTAGTTTAGTTAATTAATTCCTAATTTATCTCGACCATATTTGTGTTGTTATCCATATAACCCATATCTTGCAACTTGTATGACTAACAAAAGTTGTTAACATGGATTGGACATGATCAATACTGAATTCGGATCGAAACAGTAACGTCTATTCTTAACTAGTTTCAACTTAGATAGTAAGAAAGTAAATTAATGTTCAAAAAGAAAAAAAACGTGAATTGTGTGCAAATTCCATTTAGGAAAATCAATTTGTAAATTGCATTCTAAATGCGCTTTATAAAACGTATTCAACGAATGACAAAATGTATTCACAAAAATATTTTAAAATGCTATCTATAAAGACACACTTAGCAAATGTCATTTGTGAATTATATTATGTATTATGTCATCGTGATTCAAGTGCTTTCACCTTAAATAATAGTTTGAAAGTCTTCGAGCTCCTAGCAAACAAAGAAGAATTAACCTAAACTGCCATCCACCGAATTATGTAAAATTGTATCATGCAAAATAAATGTGTAGTTGTGTATAATCAACTTATAATTTATGTATATCGACAAAAAAATCAAAGAATGAATTTAACCGGCTATTTTTATAAAGATTTCGAAAATAAATCCAAGCCCATGGGCCTATTTCTTTTGATCTTCTCGTCAGCCCAGCCCATATTTCTACCATTCTGCTAACTTCCCCAATTGTTGGCGCGAAATCAATAGCAGCAAAATTAGGCGTCAAATTCCAGTTCCGGCATCACTTTTCCGGTAGCTCAAATCCAATTCCGCCGGCGTTGTATCCACCGGAATCGGTACTAATGTCGACCAGACGAGCTTCAAAGCGAAGACGTACTGTGCAGAAAGAAGAAGCAGAAGATAGAAAAAAGCAACAAGTGGAAGAAGAAATAGAAGCAGAGGTGAATGGAAGTTCAAAAGAAAAGTCACCAGTAGTGGTATTTGCTCATGGTGCTGGTGCTCCTTCCACCTCAGATTGGATGATCAGGTCATCTCTCTTTTATGCAGCTTCGCTTTTAGTTACATGCATTAATATTTGAGTGTCATATGGATTTTGATTTCATAATATGTGATACACTTTATGTACATAGCTAAACAGAGACAAATCTAAAATTTTGAATTTTGTAGGTTCCTACAACTATGTCAAATTAAAATTATAATGATAATTGAGTTCATAGTCAAATATTGGGTTCACATGAATCTGTAAACAGGCATCTGAATCCACCCCTGTAGCTAAGTTCCGCCTACCTGATTAAACGTAGCAGGTTCTAAGTTTAGGTAAAGGAGGAGGGTTGTGGTAGACTGATATCGAGCTGGAAAAAAAGTATCAAACTATGGATATAGTAGACATAGAGTGGATTCCTATAACTAATCAGCCAATTTGGGATTTAAGGTGTGTTAGGTGTAACGGAAATGGATTACTACAAAAGGAAAACAAAGATTATAGCAGAGTAAAATGACTTTTGTCACTTATGGAGGGATGACAACTTTTGCCTTACAATTTTTCTGGCTTTTTCTCCATATCGTTTTGCTTCAATCAATGTTGGTATCTCTATTCCCTCATTCTCACCTTCAGCTCAAAAACAAATGAAACATTAATGTTACCAAGGTGTTCTTTACCAAGGTCAAAGAAAAAAATAAAGAACAGATATATATATCCAATTCATCACCGTTGATTTAGTTGTTTCTCGTGATGAAATCTCAGCCCTCTGATCTGGCTTGTCAATTAGTACTCACTTTCAACAGCTGTCAAGTTTTCCCATTTGGATATTTTCCAGAAGATTGCCTACGTGTATATAGTTTTATTTTACATTATTCTTTTCTTTTCTTGTATAGTACATAGTTTGTTAGGATAGTTATTTTTTGCTTTCATCAGATGCGTACAAGTGTACAGATGGGATTCAACTTTGTTTTCATTCTTTACGTTTAAATAGCCTTGTACAGCCACAAAGGGAATATACAGAAAATTCCAATTATCTTCTTTGTCTCTATTTTTCCAACATGGTATCAGAGCATTAGGGTTAACAATCCTGGTTCTTCCTCGTTGTTCCTACTGCTTTCATTCTCTATCTCTGTTTCTTCACCATGCCTGATTCTATCACTGAAAGTTCTCCCCCATCTGCTGGTGCCACTCCTTCTCAAACCAATATTGGTGTAGCAGGGTCATCTGAAACTCCAGTGGTTGCTTCTAGTCACCCGTTTTACCTTCACCCTTCTGATTCACCTGGAATGACTCTGGTCAGCACCATATTTGATGGGAAAGGATATGGTGGTTGGCGTCGGGGAATCCTTATTGCCTTGTCAGCCAAGAACAAGATTGGATTCATTGATGGAACTATCCTTAGACCCACCATATCACCTGAATCTTTAAACTCTTGGTCTAGGTGTAACGACATGGTGATTTCTTGGCTTTTGAACTCCCTTTCCAAAGAAATAGCAGAGAGTGTTCTATACTCAAGGACTGCTCGAGAGATCTGGGAAGAGCTTGAGGAGCGATTTGGGCAAAGCAATGGACCTCAA